ACTCACTAACTACTGATTTTAGAATTTAGCCTACAATTGTTAGAGAAACACTGCTAGGACTCACTTACAGCTGTTTGTTAGAGAAACACTGCTAGGACTCACTGATGGTTGTTAGAGAAACACTGCTAGGACTCACTAACTACTGATTGTTAGAGGAACACTGCTAGGACTCACTTACTGCTGGTTGTTAGAGGAACACTGCTAGGACTCACTAACTACTGATTGTTAGAGGAACACTGCTAGGACTCACTAACTACTGGTTGTTAGAGAAACACAGCTAGGACTCACTAACTACTGATTGTTAGAGGAACACTGCTAGGACTCACTTACTGCTGTTTGTTAGAGAAACACTGCTAGGACTCACTTACTGCTGGTTGTTAGAGAAACACTGCTAGGACTCACTTACTGCTGGTTTTAGAGAAACACTGCTAGGACTCACTAACTACTGATTGTTAGAGGAACACTGCTAGGACTCACTTACTGCTGTTTGTTAGAGAAACACTGCTAGGACTCATTACTGCTGTTTGTTAGAGAAACACTGCTAGGACTCACTTACTGCTGGTTGTTAGAGAAACACTGCTAGGACTCACTTACTGCTGGTCGTTAGAGAAACACTGCTAGGACTCACTTACTGCTGGTTGTTAGAGAAACACTGCTAGGACTCATTTAAACTGCTGGTTGTTAGAGAAACACTGCTAGGACTCACTAACTACTGGTTTTTAGAGAAACACTGCTTGGACTCAATTACTGCTGGTTGTTAGAGAAACACTGCTAGGACTCACTTACTGCTGGTTGTTAGAGAAACACTGCTAGGACTCACTAACTACTGGTTTTTAGAGAAACACTGCTTGGACTCAATTACTGCTGGTTGTTAGAGAAACACTGCTAGGACTCACTAACTACTGGTTTTTAGAGAAACACTGCTTGGACTCAATTACTGCTGGTTGTTAGAGAAACACTGCTAGGACTCACTTACTGCTGGTTGTTAGAGAAACACTGCTAGGACTCACTGCTGGTTGTTAGGGAAACACTGCCAGGACACACTAACTACTGGTTGTTAGAGAAACACTGCTGGGACTTACTTTGAACATGCGGTAGATTTCTTTGCGGCTAACCAGAAAGTTTTGATCATCTTCAACAGCGTCGTCAAGTCCTCTGTCTGGTGGAAGATAAACATCTGTTGGAGTTACACCTCTTGTTGACACACTAACAACAATCTTGTTTTAACTACTGCATCGTATTAAGTAACTTATCAGCGCACTTAGTTTTAAGTTCATGACAAACTTGCGCAGATTTATGTATATGTATTTTTAAATTGCTGTGTGTTTTGATGAGAAACAGCTGGGCAGAAGATACGAGACTTGTGTCGAAGTTCAGTTACGAAACACAAGAGATTTTAAGTACTATAAAGTTACTCAGTTACCCCAATGGAAATAAATCACTTTGTCTGACTCTCGTTAGTTATCCTGGATTCTCAGCACATATGCTGCTATGTATGATAATCTATGTAACTGTGTATACCTGAATAAACTTACTTGCTTACGGTTCAAGATAACTTGAAGACAGGATAGAGACTGGGTTGCCTTGTAGGGTCACTCGAGGGGATGGGAATAACAATATGCTGTATGAAGAGGTACTCTTTAAACCTCTCTTAACACTAGATATTTACGGTAGGAATCTTAACTTGATCCGAGACAGTTTATCACTTGTTAATAATATGCCTAGCCTCCCAGAAAGAAATTACTGTGTTAGTTTGCATAGTGAATGAAGCGTCATTAGGAGGATCCCACGACTCTTGTGAGCCCACCATAACAAGGTTAGGTCAGTTAAGGTTTGTCAGGAAACAGGACAAGTGTTTTTAGTCATATGATGACCCACAGCTGGAGGTTTTGGTCATCTGACCGAGGCCTTCCACTGGCTTACCGGTCCACCCCCCATTAAAATTATGGTCATAATTATACCCAGCTGTAGCAAGGATAGGAATCAACGTAGGAGGATATTTAGACCCTAGCGACTTTCCAGTTTGTGATGCAGCCATCTAGATAAAACAACCTGTTTGATCCTGACAAAAAAAAAGAATATCTGGAAAATTTTCGTAAATTTTGTTTACAAAGAAATGTTTTGTAATATGATTTTTAGTTAAAAATTGGGTTATGTAAAAATGTGGTTTGTGGACATGGGTTACGAACTTGTGGGTTCTAAGACCAGAGGTTTTTAGAAAAATTTTTACTGGAAAATTTAGTGTGACAGTTGGTTACTAAAAGACATAGGTTATGTAGATATTTTGGACTAAAAACTATGCGGTTTTACTGAGACGATGGACTGTGCTTGAGGTTAGTGAGAATGGGTTAAAAACTAGGGTTCTTAACTTTATGGTTTCGTAGACTATGATGGAGTTTAACTTTGTTTTGGTTAGTGGAATTATGGTTATTGCTATGATGGTTAGGAGACAGATTTGTGTAAAAATTAGGTTTAGTTAGGCTTGATGGACAGACATGTTTAGTTAGACAGTGGTTTTGTAGACAGGATAACGTACCTATAGGTACTTAAAAATATGGTTATTAAAGGGGTTTAGTTGGACAAGATAGTTATTAGCTATGATTTTAGTTGAGGGGAACTGTAACAAAGTTTCTTGACAAGGTTTACTGTAAAACTATTAGGTTAGTGAACATGATTTGTTTTGGGCATGGGTTAAATTAAACAGATTTTGGAGACAAGGTTAGTGTGATAGTTTGTGTAGACTTGGGTTGGTAGATATGTGGTTAGTGTAACTATGAGGTTATGTAGACTATGATGTTACTGTGTCTATGATGGTTACGTAACTATAGGTTAGGAGACTATGTGTTAGTGTAGACTATGATGGTTATGTAGAATGGGTTATGTAGACTATAGGTTAGTGTAGCTATGAGGTTTGAAATTTGAGGTTATGTAGACTATGATGGTTAGGTAGACATGTGGTTAGGTTAAAATGAGGGTTTATGAGCTTGAGGTTTAAATTAGATTGAGGTTTACGAACATGAGGTTATGAGACTATGATGGTTAGGGTGCTTGAGGTTAGTTAGACTTTGTGGTTTGGACTTTTTGGGTTATGTAGCTATGATGGTTACTGTAGACTATGAGGGTTTATGTAGAATGATGGTAGTGTAGAAAATGTGGTTATGTAACTAGTGGTTAGTGAAACTAGAGGTTATGTAGACTATGAGGTTTAGTGTAGCTATGAGGGTTAGGGTAGATTTTAATTTTAGTGAGACAGAGGTTACTGTAGCTATGATGGTTACTTAACTATGAGGGTTTATGAAACTATGTGGTTCGTAGTTTTGGGGTTAGTGTAGCTATGTTTTTACTGTGGCTAGAGGTACTGTAGCTATGTGGTTACTGTAGACTAGTTTGTTACGAACTATGAGGTTACTAGACTATGGGTTAGTGTGGGGATAGGGGTTACGTAGACATGTGGTAGAGACTTGATGGTTAGTAGTATGAGGTTATGTAGCTTGATGGTTATTTTAGACTATGATGGTTAGTGTAGACTATGATGGTTGTGTTGGTTATGATGGTTATGTGGACTTGGGTTAGGTGACTATGATGTTTGTTAACTATGAGGGTTACTGAAGACTATGATGGTTTACGAAACTTGAGGGTTTAGTGAGATATGATGTTATGTGGACTTATGGTTATTTAGCTTGTGGTTTGAGACTATGTTTAGTGCAAGATTTTTATTGACTAGATGTTACTGTAGACTATAGGGTTACTGTGGGACTATGATGGTTAGGAAACTATGAAGTTATGAACAAAAGGGGGTTTTATGTAGACTATGAGGGTTAGTGACTATGATGGTTAGTGTAGCTAAAAGTTACTGGACATGTGGTTTATGTAGTTTATGGTTACTTAGACTTGAGGTAGTTAGAATAGAGGTTTTATGTAACTTAAAGTTACGGGGACTATGTGGTTACTGGACTAGATTTATGTAACAGATGGATGTACCTATGTTGGTTTTGGACAGAGGGTTTCCCAACAGAGGTTAGTGAAAAACTTGAGGTTAGTTGACTAGAGGAGTGTAAAAGAGGGTGTGCCCAGGGGTTATGAGACATAGTTACGAGAATGATGGTTTTTTTGGCAGAGGATTTAGACAAAAGGGTAAGTGAGACATATTTTGGTAGCTATTGTTATTAAACATATTTTACGTAACTATTTGGTTACTGAGACATAGGTTACTGTCCCCATAATTTACTTAGACTTAGGTTTATTTTACTTTATTTACTTAAAGATGGTTACTGTAGACTTGAGGTTTTAGGTTACTTTTTGGGTTAAAAGACTATGATTTTACTGAAACCCATAAAGGGTTAGTTAGACTAGATGGTTATGTTTTAAGAGGTTAGGTAGACTATGTGGATTTTAGACATGATGTTACGGTAACTATGAGGTTTTGGGGCATGATGGTTATGTAGTATATGGTTTGTAGTATATTTTACGGGACTAGAGGTATGGATAGGATGGTTATGTAACTAGATTTTTATGTAACTATGATGGTTTGTAGACTATGAGGGTTTATTAGACTAGATGGTTATGTAGACTTGAGGGTTTAATGTGAAATGAGGGGTTAGGGTAGACTATATGTTAAAGAGCTATGATGGTTAGTGTGACTATGATGGAGTGTAGACATGAGGGTTTGTAGCTATGGGTTAGGTAGACAATGAGGTTAGTGTAGTATGATGTATGTAACTATGATGGTTTGAAGACATGTGGTTACGTAGACTTTTGGGGTTTATGTGGACTTGATGTTATGTAGACTTGATGGTACTGTAGAAAAGGGGGAAATTTTTAAAGTAGATATGATGTTCTTAGACTAGATGGAGTGTGATATATTTTTTGTAGATAGTGGTTATGTAGACTTGATGGTTATGTGCATGAAGTTATTTCAATGTGGTTATGTGACATGAGGTTTGTGACTAGATGGGTTGTGACTATGAAAGTTTGTGGTTTTGGGTTTTATGTGATATAGGTTATGAAACTATAGGGTTTTGAGAAAAAGAGGGTTTAAGTAACTAGATTTTACTTGACTATGGGGGGGGTTACTGTAACTAGATGGTTATGTAGAAATATGGTTGTGTACATGTTTTTTCGTAGAATGGGGTTTACTTTAACTTGAGGGTTTTAGGGTAGATTTTGATGGTTATGTAGCTATGATTTTAGTGAAAAACTATGAGGTTTAGTGTAGACTATGATGGTTAGGTAGACTATTGGTTTGTAGACTATGATGGTTTTGTAGTCTATGAGGGTTATGAGATATAAAGGTTATGAGACTTGAGGTTAGTGTGGGACGGGTTATGAGCTATGATGGTTATGAGCTATGTTGGTTACGTAGCTATAAATTTACTGAGATATGATGGATAGGTAGACTAGAGGTTAGTAACTTTGGGTTACTGTAAAATTGAGGGTTACTGTGACTAGATTTTATGTAACAGAGGTTTAAATGTAACATGATGGTTACTGTAGACTATGATGGTTAGTGTAGACTATGATTTATGTAAAATGGGGGTTATGTAGACTATGATGGTATTGTGACATGAGGGTTTTATGTGATTATGGTTATTGTGGGAAATTATGGGTTACTGTAGACTTAAGGTTTTACTGTAGACTATGAGGGTTATGTAGACTTAAAGGTTATGTAAATATGATGGTTCTGTAGACTATGTGGTTACTTTAGACAAGGGTTAGAAAGACATGATGGTTAGTGAGACAAATAGGTTATTAACATGTTGGTAGTGAAAAAAGATGGAAAAGGTAGACTAGGGTGGTTAGGTAGCTATATGGTTCTGTAGCTAGAGGTTAGTGTAGACTATGAAGGTTAATGTAGACATGAGGGTTAGTTGTAAAAATATGTGGTTACTGTAGACTATGGGGGTAAATTTTTGGACTTGAGGTTATGTAAACTATGTTGGTTATGAGACATAGGGGAAATGTAGACTATGAGGGTTTATTAGACATGAGGTTTACTGTAGACTATAGGGTTTAGTGGGGGACTATATGGTTAGTGTATTCAAATGGTAGTTAGACTAGATGGTTATTGTAGACTATGGGTTACTGTAGCTATGATGGTTAGTGTAGCTATGATGGTTAATTTTGCTGTTGATGGAAACTGTAGACTATATGGTTATGTAA